TTTGTATTTAAAGTTTTCTTTTACTTACCTTTTTTTTAATGTAACAAATTTTCTGTTCTTCATTTTACCTTAGGGAAATGCTTTATACTTTTCCAATATACATTTTTTTCTCATTTCTCAAAACAGTCATAATTCCACATTGTGAAAAGGAATTGTTTTTCCTTTTTTGAAATGTTACAGAAAACCAACCAGAACTAATTCTTGAAATTATAGATCATCAATTCCTTGCCTTTTCTAAGCAGTTTCCCAGTATTACAAAGATTATGGATTCTCTGACATCCTTCCAGTTCTGTGACCCACTTCTTTTTCCAAACAACTTTTTCCCCTTCCCCCATGCCTGCAGGCTTGTTCCTCTTTCATTAACATATTCGAACTTAATCTCTTCCATCTGGCAGCCCATCCTTTGGGCTGCAGTCTGAGGATCTTTTATGGACATGTGCACCGCTACTCTCTACTGTTTGTATTTGCCTCTAGTTGCTGTAGCTGTAGGTGACATACAGCAAACTGCATTTGTACGTGAACAGGGACTGGGTTTCACCGCCATGGAGCTGCTGTCATGGATGCTCACTGCCCACAGGGTGGACAAAGGCTTGCTGTTTAGGACAGCTAATATTCATATGTAAAAGAAAAAAACCTTCCCATACGCTTCTTCGGAGCTGTGGCTGAAGGAGTTAATAGAAAATCTTTTCAAAAGTTGTCTTTGAAAAGTCTGAGCTATGGAGATGTTGTGAAAAGGCGGGGAGGACTTTGCTGTTCAGGCTGGCTTGATATTAGTCTAAATTGTTTTGGTGTCAGAGAGCTACACAATTTCTCCTCCAAGAAGGTAATAGATTGGGCTACCTGAAATACTTTAGTCCGTCTCAATAATCTTTGACCCCAAATACACGAAAGGTGTGTGTGGTATGGTAGCAAAGAGTATTTTACAGAATTCTGGGCAGTTCTGAGTTTTAGAGCAACCTACCCTTGGGAGACTTCAAAGCTGTTTGCTCTAACTTATCAAAGTCCACTTCGGCTGTATGGGGTAGCATAAAACCACTTTGCCTTTCCATCCCATGCTGGCCTTTAATAAGATAAAATACTGTTTAATGTAGGAGAATGTACACAGTGAGCTGCTACACAGGCACCAGTGATGACAGTGAAATAGAATTTGTTCCATTAAAACATGTACATTCTGTGTCTGTATTAACTATATGAAATACTGCACATCTGAAATTTGGGATTAAGTTCACAACATGCACACCACTCCAAATAAAATTTTTCATTGTCCGTAACCTTGTAGTATCATTAGTTTCATACCAGTCCTCATTATGATAAGGATGATGAAGGTTTATATTGGATTATATTACAGTTTGTAAGGAAATTATCTTGACAGTTAAACTCATGGTACAGACTTCTTTGGGTCGTGTGTTTTAGGGTGCCTTTTAAATAACTGTTCAGTTAAAATTATACAGCTACATTTCGTTTTTGAAGTATGTAGGAGTAGCTCATGAACGATGCTATGAACTTTCAGTTCTTAAAAAAAATTTCATTACAGTACGCTTAATATGCACTTTTTCATTCAAACAAGCCTGATTCAAAATGTCACTTAACTGGTATAAGATATGGGGGAATGAGAAATTACATGTAATCTAGTTGGCTGTGGAAATAAGGATTATTAATAATATACATTATTAAGAAAATAAAGCTTATTGAAATATTGTACTTGTTGCAGAAATAAATTACTAAAATGACTTGATTTAGTCAAATCGCTTCTAGGAAAAACGGGTTGTAGCAGAAAGAAATGTAAACGATTTGCAGACACGCTCTCTTCTAGGACTGACTTGTGCCCAGCACAGTGTTAGAAAGTGTAGTTCTGCTTGATTTACAGCCATCATTTAGAGCTACCTAACAGCTACCTAAATTCCTGAAAATTTTAAAGCAAAGCCTGAATAATATCCACAGGATTAAAATATAAGTATTTCTAAAGTACTGTAATCTAGGGGCTAGACAACTTAATACTGATTCAGTCCATAGCTCTGGACTTTTAAAGCAGGTTAAATTCTTAGTTTTAGGCTGGAGCTTGTGGCCACAGTCTTCTACTTACTAGTATTTTTAATCTAATCCAAAGATGTAATAATATAAGTTTTTAGGAAAATCCCACAAATTTATCTGTCTATAATGCAAGTGATGAAACTCAACCATTCAAAACTTTCTGTAAGTACAGCCATCAGCTTTTCAGGCATCTGCTTTCTTGCTAACAATAGGGTAGGAGAAAATGTCTTGGTTTTTTATTAAAGATGTTGCTCAAATAGTCAAGGGTAAATCTGAGGGTAACTGGTTAAGATTCAGAAACCTTTTCTTTAGGGTTCAGATACCATCTTCCAGTATGCAGAAGTATTTAATACTTTTGTGGGATACATTTCTGTAGAAAACTCTGGGAAGAAACTTCAGTTGTGTTTTAAAAAAACATATAATTTGTGATTAGCAATGAGGTTTCTGTTCTATTATTTCAAAATTTTTGTTTTGCACCATTATTATGTATTTCAGACTTTGATCCCTGGTGAACTTGTAACCCTTTCTTTGGATCCCCAAAAAAGACTTTATCCTTTGACAATTTCATCACTTCTTTAATTAGCACTTCATTAAAGTAGTGACTTTAAAATCTCTTTTATTTTCAGCTGAGAATATACAGTATTCTTCAGACTGATTAATGAAATTAATGGGTTTCCAGATTAAACACAGAACAAATTAAAAATATAATTTTTTTAGTCTTTGAATATTTCTTAATTTCATAAAAAGTTTTTAATTCTTACATAGTTGTATCATGATTATTCACCTAACAGTCTTTTTTATTATTATTGTGGAGACAAATGCCATTTCAGAGAACTCTTGTGTTTAAAAGAGTTTTCATTAATATCTTTACTCCTGTTTCATCGTGTCTTTTAGATGGAAGTAAAAAGGGAAAGCTTCTTTCTTTTCAAAAAAATCACTATGATAAAAAGCCTTTAGGATTATCTTTGATATCATCAGTTTAAAACATAGACTAGGAGTGCGCAAGGAGTCTCTAAGCTTTGCCTTTAAAACCATGGGGCAGTCGTCTGCCCATTTTTGCATTCATATCCCATAAGGGTCAGGGGGATTTAGCAGTCGCAATAAAATTATTCAGTGCTCAGTGTAGGAGGAGAAATGATGGACTGATACTTCAAGCTAACGCAACATCTGTAAGCAAAAACTGTATCATAGTACAAAACCAAAGTAAGCTATTTTACTTAACAAAAGATAATTGGCACTCAAGATAGCAAGATATTTCTGTCTCATAGCATGCAGGCCAGGCCATTAACACTGCATCTTTCCACTGTGGGAGCTCAGAGTCACTGCCTCACATTTACGCAAGATGCTCTGAACTGCTCTAGGTGAGGAAGCAGCTCCCACTGAACTCCTGAAGTTGCCTTCTCACTGCTTGTAGATAAGTAAAATGCCTGTTCTGCAAGGCAGCAATGAGGACCTTCATGCAGACTCAAGCACAGAGTGAAAATTTTATTCGGAATGCGAAAAAAATACATTGACTAAAAATGATGGTGTGCTGATTCTGAAAATTTGTAAGTGGCTAGAAGGTATGCTGCTACATCCACTCCCCTTGGTGCTCTGCCCTCCAGAACTGATCCAGGTCTCATGACAGCAGTTAGTAAAGTTGGACAAGAACTCATGCAAGCATGAAAAAAGTAGTTAAGTGGACTGTAAAAATGAAAAGGTCTGTTCTACATTAGCATATTTCTACATTTCCTCTGGAAATGGCTACCAGCGCATAGCTTCTCAAAGTGAAGGCAATATAGAAAACAGTGGCTGAACTAACACCTAGAAAAATCCAGCAGAGATGTAGCCCATACCCGTGACTTGAAAACTACTTTTTTTTTTTTTTTTTCATCTGCCTTTTGTCCACGCACCTCCAGGGTTCTGCAGATAGATTGAAAATGACTGGTCTAAAGCAGTGGCTCCCTAGTCATGGTCTGCAAGGTTATGAGCTGCAGAGTCATTTTAAGTGTATAGTGTGTTCAATTACGAGTTTGATAATAAGGATGCATCCACAAACATTTTGGGTATTTGATAGTGATCCAAAAAGTTTTTAAAATGTTGACTTAAAATACAGCTTTACCCAAATATCCCACAGCATACTTATAAAATTGATGTGGGAGATGTTTGTGTTGATAAGATCAAGAAGTTGTCTGAAAGTGGAGCTGGTCATTTCTTTAGAACTGAAGTTGAATACCAGATGATTATATATGTGTGTGTTTTGACTTGAATATAGATTAACAATAGCTTATATCGTTCTACAGAACTTTAATATTGCTTTTGAATGTAAAAAGGCAATGTAACGCAAAGATGGCCATGGTTGTTAATGGCTTGTATCAGCTGGAAGCTATAAAATCATCCTAGTACTCTGTTAGTGCTGGAATAATAATTTACCAAGACAATTACCACATGGTGGAATTTTTTTGCTGCTCTAATTCAGTGTTATTAATAATGAATAAAATTGCAATTTTCTCAGGTTGCTAGGGGCAGTAGGAAATTATTTCAATGAATATTTCAGCACATTAGTTTAATCATAGTTCCACAAAATTCAAGTGGGCAATATTTTATACTTCTAAGTTCAGTCTGCTAAGGGACCATAGTCATTAAATTGCAAACTATTTGCACTGAGGTCCATTCTATGATTTACAAGCCTTGTTAAAAACACTGTAAAAGAAAGCAAGCTATACCATTAATACTTGTAATTTGATGCTGCATTTGTTAATGGGCTCAGTGTGATTAATGTTTTTAGCAGCAGGCAGAACATTTTGAGACAGGCAGTGCTGAGGTTTATAATATATAAATGCATGTAAAGAAACGTTAGAATATTGTAAGTTTTAGTAATATATGTTTTTACAAGATTGTATTCCTGAAATAGAAAAGCAGCAGTGAAATGTATGTAAATACAGTTCAAGCTGTGGTAGGTGCTGATGTGTGTGTTCTCTATTTCATAGCCAACTGCATGACTTCTGGCGCTTGGATTACTGGGAAGACGATTTGCGCCGGCGGAGGCGATTTGTTCGCAATGCTTTTGGGTCTACTCATTCTGATGCTCTCCTAAAAGCTGCTGTGGAATATGGTCAGTACTAACTCCTGCTTAAAAATATAGCTTATGAGGTATTCTTGATGTCCGTGAATCCCTGAGAATAGTGTCCCTTCTTTTCTAAGGACAGTGCTGAGAATTCCTAGGACAACATATTCTTAGAAAAGGAATTCTTTCAATTCTTACACTTTAATGAACCAGAAGACTTGATCTTGTGGGCTGTTAAATTCTGTGATCCCCAAGGGGATTCGCATTATACCTCTCTAGCATTCCCAGATGCTAATTTTGAGACACTGGTAAAAGTAACTGAACTTGTCTCTCCGGACTGACAGAATGAAACTGTTAGGCCATCAAAGTAATGTGTCGTAATAGTTCCATTGGAGACCTTTCGTGAATGAGGAATTAACTGTTTTTTAAAAATATCAGAAGTTTTATCCTCGCATGTGTAATCTCAGCCAAAAGTATTTTTTTCTGCAAATCATAAAATATATAAGAACTCGTTTAAAATAATTATTATAAAGATACTTGATTTGTGAATAGTGAACTGGCTACATAGAAGCTTCAGTCTAGGAACTTAAGGATTAGATGATGTTTGATTTTCAAGAAGAGGTAGCTGGAGTATAAAAGAGGAAGGAGGAACATGCTTACAAATTCCCTTATATCATCTAAAAGTTTCATATGTTTACTGACTTCTGTACAGCAGACTGAACCTGAGTACTCTGAAAGTCTAAAGCAAATTTATTTCTCAGGTTTAAGCTGGGGTACCTCTCTAACATATTAAAGACAGAATTTTAAGATGTTTTCCTGTCTTTTTTTTTTTTTTTTTAATCTGCAGTACTGAAAAAAAAATTGTGGGATTCTTTAGCATTTAGGAGTAAAAAATGGAAGTAATTATACACAAAGCAAGTTGAACCTTTCAGCTGATATGTAACCAAAGGCTAATGTTACCAGAAGTTCTGAATATGATAGATATTAAGCTGTGTGACCTACACATTTCACCAACTTTGCAGGTCGTTGAGGCAAATAGCTGGGATTCAAACAAGGTTAGACATATAAATGAATATCTGTGTGTGCAGTTATACTAGCTAGTGTAATTTAACACTTACTTAAACGTGAAGACTATCATGTGCAGGACTTCAGGTCATAAACTCTTCATAAGTTGGGTTAAGGAAGATATTTCCCCCAGTAGTATATAGCATTGCATATTTGACAAAGGGTTATTTTCTTTACGTTCTTCCAAAACATCAAAATAGAGATCTTATGAGAGGCAGATGCAAAACTCTGCTAATTGCTGTGTTGCTTTTATAAGGCAAGTAATCATCAAAACCACGGGCTTTATGCATTCTACAGGCATAAGAACCCTTAAAAATATTCTTATTGATTAATATTTTTAATTTTGGATATTAAACTAGCATTAAAACAGGAAGACACCTGATTTATAAACTATTACAAAGTTTTAAGCCTTGATATTATCCTCTTTTTAAAATAACAGGAGCTTTCCATTTACTTAGATGGACTTTGTTTCATGCCTCTATAGCAAGAGCGTTGTATCTTTGGGATAAGATTGAACTCAGAGGATGCTGGAAATGGTTTGGGCTTTTTTTATGAGGACTATAATACAAGTTGCACTTAAACAGTTTCGGCATGTCGCAAAGATTGCCTCCATTTATGTAGTTTCTGTGTTCTAGTATTTTAGTGCAGGTGACAGCTGCCTGGTAGTAGAGCTAACCTGCAAGACAAAGCTGCAACCGAAAGAAACAGGAAAAACTGAAGTGGTTATAGTTTCATATTGGATCGTTTCTATAGAATTTCACGCTACTCACCTGTTAGTGTATTCAACATACAGGAAAATTAAAGCTCAGGAGTGTTTAGAGGTGGTACGCATCAAATTTAGTGGTTGCCTAAAAATTACAATAGACTGAAGTTGTCCTGTTTGCAGAATTAAAATAAGTAATTCTAACTTTTCACGTATATATTAAAATTAATATATGGAATTTTAAAACAGCATGCATTAAAGTTATACTTCATGGATTTTATCTAGATGTACTTACTTTTCAGACTTAAGCCTTTGGATTTTAATACTGAAACTTTTAGCTGACCTTTCTCTGTAAGAAAACATGCTTAACACTGATGTTATTTTTATGCCTCTTGGTGTTACTAATGAGTTGAATAATTTATGAGGTTGTCATGTGAAAAGGATTTGGTGCAGTTTGATGTACTTTTAGCCTCTGGTGTTGGAATGTGATTAATAAAGAGCTGGAGGCAGATTTTTTTCCATAGGGCCTAACTTTCATTGTTTTTTTTTTTTTATTAGCTTTGTTTTGATAATTTTGTTTGGAACAGTTTGGTAGTAAAATGCTCCTAGCTTCCAAAACTAAGCATGATATCACACTACAGAAAGAATTTAAAGCATTTTAAAAAAATCATACTGCATAGTTTTCCAGTAACAGATTTTTTTCCTGACCTCAGATACTTTGTTTGTGAGAAGTAAACTATTCATCATAGCAAAATTTGTTGGGCTTTTGTTATATTAATAGCAATTTTTCATCTTGACTGATACCTCTATCACAAGTAAAGCTATTTTGAGCATCAGTAAAATAGTGGAAACATCTTACAAGTTTTTGTTATCTGCATTGACTGTCAGTTATCATTTAGGATTTTGTGCATAAATATTGCAGTAGAGGAATGTTTAGTCAATGCCTAAGTCAGCAAGCTCCTCAGTGTCTGCGATCAAAGGCATCAACTTAAATAGGTCTGATCAGGCATTGCAGAAGAGGGCAGGCAGTTTCAGCTGAGCAAAAATCACAGAGCAAAGATGACAAAATTAATCAGTCATTTCTTTGGCAGTAAATAATAAGACATGCTGAGGATTGCAGATGAGAGAATTTCCAGATTCCTTGGAGATGTGCCTGCTTAACACCTGATTTATCTAAACTTGTGCAGCCATCAAGATATGACCTTGATAAATAAAAAAGTGCTCTACAGCTACTCTAGTATTAAATCAGAGTTGATGTTGGATGTATGGTTACTGTAATTATATAATACTTGCAGTCATCAAGGAATAGAAGAGTCTTGGAAATTAAAACTATGTCTATGATCTATATGTTTGTTTTAGAGAAGTAACAACAAATGTTAAATCCTACCTTGAAGAGCTAAAAAAAAAGTGTTAATTTTAGCTGATAAGTGACTTCTTCCTGTAGGAAACATTATATATTATCTACTACTGGGAAATAGTATTCTCTCAAAAAATTTCTGCTACAAGGCAAGTGGGTGAAGCTTCTGTTTAACTACATTCTGTTAGTCAGCCATTGTATGCATGTTCAGATGTCTGGTTTTGATAAAATATAATATGCATACATATAAGTATGTGTGTGTGCATATATGTGTGTGCGTATATATATATGTTCAAAGTACCTGGCAAGTAAAAAATATTGCAATGAGAAATTATAACATATTTCTATGGCTATATACAGCTGTGTGAAAATTATAGCTTATTGCTATGGGTATATACTTAGCTGTCCTTTTAGACTGTAGGTATGTTGGAGTCATAGCAGCATTTACAAGAGATGGACTAAAGAATTTTTCCCTTTGGATTAGTCTCCTCCATTTCTAAGTTTTTGATATTAGGCATTGGATTTGTTTGTAATCTGTTAAAACGACTTTCATATCTGGATTTAAAATTCAAGTATAATTATTTCAGCATTGTATCTGCTGTGCCCTTTTGTTTTAGCTAAATTCTTACTTGAATAGAAATATAGATTCCTTTCTCCCTTTTGTGAAGCTGAAGGGATACTACTTACTGCAGTATCAAAGTGCAAGCTGTAATGGGATTTTGAACTACCTGGAAACTTTTAGTAGAGTTTTAATTTTATAGTGTTGATGGATTTTAAACAGTTCTTATTTTAAGTTTAGATGGAGTAATCGATGTAATTGATTAAATTGTAGACTGACAAGAAAAAAAAAAAAAAATTGTATAAAAGATTATAAACTCTACTTCTCTTCCCCAAATTTTACTACCAATAAATGCATAACATATGCAGATGTGACCCAATTCACAGTGATTCTGTACATGTGGTGAAAGAACTGTCTCTTCCAGTTAATCACCTTAACAGTTTACAGTCATTGGAGATTAGTATAGATGAGACACTACTGTACCACCATGCCAGTGAGACAGAATACTGCTCCACAAAGGTCATCTTAAGAGTAAAATAGTTAATTTATTAAGCTTTGGTCCTTCAATCTTTAAAGATTGTGGTCCACAAACCATTTGCATATAGAGGGGGTCCAAGAAAGGCCACATTTTCTAATTTGCACTGGAGGAAACAGACATGAATAACTCCGTGCCCATGTTCTAAACATATATATGTAAGCTGGTCAAATATTTCTAGTGTCTGTGCTCAAGAATATTTGGCCTGTTAAGCCGATTATCATGACAGATCCTGAATGCTTAGAACGAAAAAGAAAAAAAAGGAAAAAGAAAAAAAAGAAAAGAAAAAAAGGCCTTCATAATGTAATATGTAATACATTCAGGTTTTGAAACAAAGCTAAAGATATGTCTTATATGTGCAATATGGCAATTGCTTTTGAACTTGCATATTTTAAGTTACTCCCTCCATTATGTATTTGGACATCTAATTAGCAACCTTATTTCAAGAGTGGTTCTAGCTGAAGCAGACTGTATGTGGCTCCTTCTGGGACTTGTTGTTAGCGCTCGTAAGTTTCAGCAAATGCTGTGTGTGCTCATCATCAGAAATACAGTTTAATTATACAAACAGAATTAAAAAGCATCAGGTTTTGAAATCTGAAATGTTCAAATCTGAAATCTACTTTCATGAAAGTAGCTGGATTTTGATAGACTTTCAAAGAATTGCAGGCAGGATTCCTTCAGGCTGCTGAAGGACTTACATTCCCAGAACGTTTAGCTTCAATCAAGTGCTACCTTAAAAGAAAGGCTGTGTGGGTCCCCTGCTATGAAACTGGGAGTCCGAAATTCATGGGAACCCATACTCAAACCAGGGACTGTCTTCAGAACAGGG